TGGAAGTCCATCAAACTGCCGATTTTAATGAGCTCCGTGAGCAAAGGGATCTGATCTGCCTTCTCGAAGAGCAGCCCCTGGGTCCTGGGATATCTCATCCGCAAAGTTCGTTGCGAACTCCAACTTCTCCTTGTAGCCTGGTGCACGCTTGCTTTTCTGCATGTACAGTTTCGAGCTCTCCCTCTCCCACCGGAGCTTCCGTGTGGCCTTCACATCCAAAACGGCCCCAGAGGACAGCTTCACGTTGTATCCCACCGTGATTGGCTCACTGGTCTCTAGCACCGTCACATTGAGCAGGCAGGAAACTATCTTGTGCCGCCCTTCAGCAGAAATGTCGAGAGCAGGATCGGCAAGAAAAGCAAGGACCAGTTTTATCATACCAACATTGATGACCTTACCCCGAGCAGCTTTTGTTGGGCTGACATTCCAATGTGAGTGAATCATTCTTCCCAACAGCTTTGGATATTGCTTGGACTCCAATGCTACCGTAGATGTTGTTCAGCTTTGCTTGAGACATGGAAGGCAGGCTTGAAGATGGATACCATATGAACAATGACCGGTTAGGAAGCTTGTCGAACAAATCCTTGAGAAGTAGATCATCAGGAATAAACACATCCTCTTTCTTTGACAGAACGATAGTTCCATCGGTACAAACCAGAATCTTGACACAAGCAGAAAGAAGCTTCTCCGTGTTTTTGCTCCAGTTCTTGGCAATGAACTGCCAGAAAGCAGAGCAGTCAGCTAGAGATAGCGCATCGACAGTGCTCTCCCATGTGCTCCACAATTTCAATGATCTTCAGCGCTAGGACCATTCCTCACACCAAAAACATGTGAAAAGAAGTCCAGCAACTTCTTGTCATACTATTTGTCCAAGACATGCAGCTGCAGGCTGAAAAGGTTGTCCTTATCATGAACACAACCCAGAGGGCTCACCCACTCTCCACTATTCTTTTTATTTGGTATCCAGATCCAATCACTCGTCTTGTTTGCAGGCTCCCAATTGCACTCCTTAAGGTACGTGTAAATACGAGAAATAGTAGCCCTGTTTTTGTGGCTTTTCAGATGTCGAGCAACAAGCTCATGTCCGTGTCTAACATCCACAGATACTCCGATTGCCGCAAGGGCGTCTCTGAATGAGGCTATCTCTGAGCCATAGAATGCTTCATCAATGAAAGGGCTATCTTCTATGCGAATGGGAGAATTCTTTGGATCAAACAGGATCGACTCATCAGGACATTGGAACCCCACTTTTGTCCTGAACCAACTGCATCCTTTGATTTTCTCTAGAAAGCCCTTTGGGAAGTTACTTGAAGAAGCCAACCAGCTCCGAATGGACCTGAGCAATGACAAGACACTAGCTCCAGACAAGTGTAAAGGATCCTTGGGAATGTTGATGCCATTGATGACAAACCTAGCACCAGCTTTCACTTCAGTAGTAACACCTAATTCTTGAGCTCATCTTTATAACCATGTATTTCTTTGCTTAAACCTTGGTGAGAGTCACCGTCATCTATGAAAGGTAAGTCTGCTACTGATGATAGACACTGCCATTCTGCATTGAACAAGATTGCATCTTTGGGAGATCTGAAACCGAACGATGTACGCAACCACTTCTCATTCAGCATGCAACTGAAAAGCTCGACAGGGAGTGCGCCCTGTGTTTTCAGCTGCAGATAACATGCTAGCAGGGCTAGGACACTCGCCTTTGGAAGTGATGAGTTCAGAACCATCTGCTTGAACAAGTGAGCTATAGCCTTTGATGCCGCCTCCAATTTTGTTATCAACCCGGTCTTCTCCAACTCTGTTTTGTAGGGACTAATCTTACTCCCATCAAATCTGAAATCAACTACAGGAACCCCATCAAAGACCTTTAGAAGGCACTCCCATCGAGGATCCACAAGAAAAGATTCATTAAGAGCACGGAACCCCACACTGGTCTTCACCCATTTTAAATCTTTGATCTTCCTTATGAAGGCATCACATGAGTTCACATGCTGGATACATTTTTTTTTAGAAAGGGTTGCCCCCGCTTTATATTATAAAGCAACGACCACACGATACAAATGCTGGGGCCACAGCACAAGCAAGCCCAAAAGAAACAAAAAAAGGAACTGAAGAGAAAATAATGCCAACACCGGCGGATCAACGAAAACGATGAGGACCCGCAACCGCCGCGCCCACCGGAAAATACCACCACGCTCCTAGCATTCCGGACCGCCGCGCACGCTCCTAGCATTCCGGACCGCCGCATACCAAACAACACCCTCAAGAAGGATTGCGACGATGACGACGCTGTTGCCCGGACATGTCCTAGGGTTTCCCCCGGTACGCGAGGGGTGAGGTGGAAGGGGTATGCCCGACGCCCTTCAGGAAGGCACGGCGGCGCCCACGAGCGTCACCGCGTCGGTGCCGGCCCGGCCGACAAGGATTTCTCCCGCCCACTAACCAACCACGACCCCAGACGATCCATCCCGCGCCACCAAACACACCGCCCACCAACTTGCGCCACCACGGTCGAGCAGTCTCCATCGCCGTCTCACCATGGCAAACGAAACGGGACCGACGGAAACAAGACGACGCAACCGGGAACCAGGAGTGGCAACATCAGCAGCCTCGCGGGAGGGGACATCCTCCACCGCCCCCGGCGGGATCCGGCCGGACGCAGCACAGGGGCAAACCGGGCCACCCCTGGCCCAGCCGAGCCCGAAACGGGCTCGCGAAGCCCCCGTCGCCGCGCTGCAGAACGCGAGCCGCCGTCGCCACCACCCCCCGCACGAGTCACGCCCCCGACCCGCCGGAGACGCCGCAAGCAGACCAAGCCAGGCCCGCCCAGACCCAGATCGAGCCCAAAAGGGCCTGGATCTGGGCCGGGAAGGCCCGCCGCTAGCCACCGCGTCGCCCCGCCGCCAAGCGGTCGCGCCACCGCCCGCACACCACCCAGCACTGCGCCGCCGAGGGAGCTGCGCCGCCGCCGGATCCAATGTCGCCGAGGAGCACCCCCATCGGCCGCCGTCCGCCCGAGCCGAGGCGCCAAGCGGGGGGGAAAGGCCGGGGCCGCCGCCGTCGGCACCACGCGGGCAAGGCCCGGTGGCCCAGGCCGACGGCGGCGGAAGGGGAGGAGGGGGAGGGGGGGCTGGGAGGGGGCGACGAGATCCCCCGGTCGCCCCGCTCGGGGAGGCGACGCGGGGGGAGGAGGGGGGAGGTTGGGCTAGCTCTCCTTAGAATCAGTTGCCCCTCATCCTCTAATTTGCTGGATACATTTGAGGATTAGCACAGTAGCCTCAGGAGTAATAGCAGCCGAACTGAACTTGAAATTATCAATCACAAGTTTGTAGCTGTCTTTAAATTCAACAAGAACACCGAGAAAGTTGAGCTGTGGTTTGTAGGTAAGGATGTCGTCGCCATAGAACTTGACATCAAGGAACGGCTGGCTACTGATACAGGATGCAACTGCCCAGCCTGAATCATAGATGATACAACCAATTGGAGACCTGTAGCCGAGAGTACTCTTCATCCACTGTCCATCTTTGACACTGTTGATGAGTTCGCTTGGAGATAGAACTTTCTCTTGAAGAAACCGAATCAGCCGAAGGAGTGAGTACACATTCTCTCTGATCAGCGTATTGCTTGCAGCCATAGACATGAGGCGGCTGCCGATGTACGCTGATGCCTCCTGAAATTCAAATCTAACTCCGATCGCCTTGAGTTCCTCCCTGTATGCAGCTTGTTTTGATAGAACTTTTGGTCAATCATCGGTATATCAACAAACGAGGAGCCACTTTGCAAAAGAACTCCCCACTCAGAACTGGACAGAAATGATTGATTTGGTGGCTTGTACCCAACTGATGTCCTAAGCCAACTTCCCTGTTTTACACAAGCCAGAAATTTAGCCGGTAATTGTACCTTCTTGACTTGAGACTCTGTATCCATTGCAAAAGCAAGATTGCATTGTCAACGGTTAGAGGCGATGAGACTGTAGGAAAGCTTGCATCTGGAGGGTGTATGAATGGAATGTCTGAAGCCAGCAATTGTGTCTTCAGGAAAACCAAGAGCTAGGTATGCACTTCTTCTCAGATGCAATGCACAATCTGTCACTCAGTTGAGTAGCTCTAGAAATGCTCCAGAAAGAGATAGCATTGTTCCGATCAACATACTTCAGCAGGGGAATAGACATCATTTTTGTACCGGAGAAACAGTTCTGCCAATTGTCTCCGACAAAGGATAAAACCTCGAGATAAATCTGTTCATTTACCTCCTTGACAAGATTAGAGCCCTCGATGCATTTGACGTACCACTCGGTGCTCACACTTCTAACACCAAGAAATGATAGCACGGTATTATACGTGGACTTGTCAAAATGAGAGCTGAGGATGTAGCTGCCATGAGTTGAGAGATCCTTCAGGTCAACTCCAGATTCCCATGCCTTGCTGAGAATACTCCAAAAGGCCGGTTTCAGCCGTCCAACCTCACCAGGTTTGCAAAATATTTTCTGTGAACTATGAGACTCACATGGTACTATATCCTCGACAAGAATCTTGTTTTTGATGCCAGGCCTAACTGGCTCAAGTTGTGGGATTAGCGACCAGCAGGAAGTTAAACATAGAAGGCAAAGGACATTGCTGGTGCATCAGCGTAGACTTCACAAGTGCGACAAAAGCTTTCAGGAAAGCACTTGGGATACAGACCAGAATCCCCTTGTTCCACGGACTGTCAAACAGAATAGCCTCTCTTGAAGATGCAAGGAGGAAGTCGGCCTGGATTATGAAGGGAACTTCGTTACCATCTCAGTGGGAAGAAAAGCATAGACGCCAGGCGATATGCTTCCCACAGGGTGATGACCCACTCATCAATCTCAGCACGTTTGTCCACTCTATTCTCCGGTTCCAGGAACTACTGCCTCTACATGTAGTAGCCACACTTCTTTCACGTCCTCTTGGGCTGATGAATGGACCGTGTAAGACTCTGCATGCATGTTCTTCCTCGCTTGGTAGTTCTTTTCACTAGAGGAGACCAGGTGGCCTTGCAGGGCCGCCGTACAGAGGTATCAAACCCTCGCCCAGCTCATCCCTTTGCTGCTGGACATGAATTGCCATTAGGTCAGCCTGGTGCAGACGGTTCGCTACAAGAGCATCTGGAGTAAGCTGGTATTGCAGTACCATCATATTAGGGACAGGGGGGTGAATGCCGGTTACAGCAAAAAGGTTATCTGGCAGGATTGTTCGCCGGCGGCACCTGTATGCACCTTTCACTTCATACTTCTTGCAGATGATTTCTTCATTGTCAGAGCCTCTGTGTGCAGCAAGATTCTTGCTTATGCCAGCAAAATATTCCCGCTTCATGGGATTATGATGATCAACTGAACCATAGTAAGGCCAGAACTGCTGCTGCTGAGCTCTGGGGCCAGAACGTGCCATCATTCCATCATACTCATCCGTATCAACCAGCAGGGAATAACAGTCCACAGTAAATGCCTGATCATCGAGTAACACACCATGTGGGTTTCTGAAGATCTGCGGGTTGAGCATCATAGCACTGGTTTCTTCGTTATTTAACCACTGTCTCTCTTCAAACCCCTGATTAGCTGAGAGACGCAGGTGCCTCCCTCTGTTGAACCCATGATACAGTGAACCAACTAACAGCAAATCATCGTAGGCAGCTGGATCCATAACTAGAGTTACACACAATGTAAAATAGCATCAGATTGAGAAGTGTGCAAAAATTCAGTATCATAATAGCACATGCTCGATTCCGAGGTAAATAATAGTGTGTAACATTAAAATGAGAAAATATTGAGTAACTTGAAGACCAGAATACTCATTCATGATTTGCAACCTAAACAGACCATCATAGATTCAGCCTATAGGATCCAACCAACCATTATTTGAAACGACCAGGGAGTAGTCAGCGACCAAACAGAAGAGTGAATCATGCTAGCAAGTATATTGAACAGTGCCCTAGAACTACCATAAGTAGTGGAAATAGAGCAAACAGTCCATGCTAAACAGAAGAACGGTGAATCAATTAGTAATCACAGTATCCAATTAAGCCATGAATTTACAATTGTAAGCAAGCCTTAAGCTAGATAGCATGTGACAGTATCTAGAACAACAGTTAGGAAACTAAGCTACAGTCAAAAATGGGGAGCATCCAGAGACCATAGCAAGCATCAGAGACCATATGGAATGAGCCATTTGACCATCTTTAGCATACTGTAATTAATTAGCTGAGCATCTTTAGCATCACAGCAACCTAAAGCCTACCTATGTACCACAGTGATAGCCAACACAAGGATATCAGCTATAACAACAGTGGATATTTGTAAGCCTTAACAGAATATTTATAGAGATATCTAGGACTAAACCATAGCAATTAAGTTACACTGAACCATGCCAACATATCCAAAAAAAAATAGAAATTTTTGGCCAGATGACCACAACACAGAGCAAGAACACAAAGGCCAGCAACAACCCAAAGTGAGAGAAGTGAGGGGAGGAGAAGATCCTTACTAAACATAAACTATGACTCTTGGATTGCTAAACTTCAGCCCTTCCCTATGACTCTTATTGCATTGCATGTAAAAGAAGAAGAAACGCAATGGTTGGATACCGTTGAAAACTCAAAACATTGTTCACTTGTTAACTTCCTACCATATACATCTTATAGTATAATATAGCTAATATAGCTAAACTAACTTACAAAATAAACAAGTGTCCCAACCTACTGTAAATCCTGTCTATACTAATTAAGGAATAACCCACCATACACCAGACAAAAGGGATGAACACATGAGGATATCAAATAAATAAAGATGCATAAATAACAAGTAAGAGCAAATAAGGGAGATAGTGTTTTCCCATGAAGCAAACGGTAACAGCAGCAGTCAATAGCGCACGGAGCAGCAAGGTCATCACCAAACCAGAAGAAACAATCAAACAGACAGTAAAGAACAGAGAAACGAAGGAAAGTATATATACGAGTAGATGTATTGTAGGAATAGCCAGCAGGTGTATCATTGGTTTCGTTGGTAGCCTCAATAACACGACAGAGGCAGACAAGAAAACAAAATGAATCAGCAGGCTGCTAATACAACCATAGACAAAAGCAGTGGCAGATCGTGCCAAGAAATCAAGAGGGGGCTAAATTTCAGAGTAAGAGCAAATATATACGAAACATGTCAGCTCGGCTCATCGATAGTCGTCGGTGCGCAACAACGTGCGACACTGGTTCGGCGGCTGTGCGGCGGTTAGCAGTCCAAACCGAGGAGGAAACAGGATTGAGCAATTGCAAGGACTACTCAGTAATTAAATCATCATTGATGAAAAGCATGGAGGCAAGCCATGTAGAGTTTTGGCCGAGAGAGCTTCACATACTGTAGCTACACGCATACAAAATCAATCAAGCTAACCATGTACGTATGTGGTGAGTTGCGTCAGAACACTTAGTATTCATAGTTAAACGGAAATTAGACTTTTGGAAGGGGGTCACGACCCCGTTTGGCCTCCAAGAGGCTCCGCCAGTGGACAAAAGGAAGCAACAAATAAAAGGAAATGAACATAACCAAGACTCCATGCACAAAGGAACAACAATCTTAGGCCCTACATGGGATCAAGACAAGGGACAAAAAAGGACATAGAAGACTTGAGTTTACAGGTTGGGTTACTACATCAGACGAAATTCTATGGATCTTTGTAAACTAGAGTTCACGATAACTATGAATAAACAAAATGCATCGTAATGATCTACTCTTTTTCTGCATTTTCTAATAAATATCAAACAGTCCAGAAATGAAGGGACAATGTTCTACTCCAGACATACAAACATCCTAATCCAACTAGAACAAATTATACTATTCATTAGAAAAGCTAGTAGCAAAATCACCACCATTGGGGTACTATTAGAGAAGGAGATAATCTCAGCAGAGCTAAATGTCACGACGGCCTCAGATAATCTCTGCGCCGTTACTCTACTACTACTTCCTGAACCATCACCTGCTCGAGAACTAGGCTGTAGCCTAGTGGCAAGGGAGCGCAGTGGCGTCTCCAGCAACCAGGGTTCGAGCCACGTCGGGAACGAATTTCTGGTTTCTCACAAGGGATACTTCTCCTATATCAATAAACCATGGGTGCTAGTGCCCATGAGTTTCATCTGAACCATCACCTGCTCCGACCGCAATCCCGTCAGCACATGCCCGCGGGAGGAGAAGGCCACACGCCCGGCCGCCATGACGAGCCCACCACCTCCACCGGCCGATGGACACGGAAGAGGCGGCCGAAGCCGCCCTCAGCCTGCGCCGCCCGTGAACAGAGGCGGGCCCTGCCACCGCCCAGCCCGTCGCGCCGCCACGCCATCGCTGCGTTCGCGCACCGCGCCGCGGCGTCCCGGCCCAGAAGCTTTCGGCCCGCGCCGAACCCGCCGAGATGGGAGGCGAGGAGGCCCCGCCGGCCGGGCACCCTCTGGCGGCGGCGCACTAGGGTTCCTCCCCGTCGCCACGCGGGAGGAAGGAGGGGAGGTTTTCGGGAATTGGGTATTCCGTTCCGTATTTATGCGCCTCCGCCCAGCTAGTATAATAATACTACTACTGCGTCTCCCTATTCAACGCGGATTTCTCATCACCCAAAAAAAAATTAGCTGATGACACGGCAAATCCAGATTTCTGCCAACAAAATTCATGGAAAAACGTCGCGGATCCCTGATGCGCCTACGACACAACACCACAGAAATATACTAGCTCAAGTTGCAGACGCCATGGAAACAGAGATACAACTTTAATCGCCATAGAAACAGAGCAGGGAGGGAAGGGGACTTGAGATTTCGACTTGTCACCTCAAGTGCCAAACGAAGGTGCAATGCGGGCGTGACGGAGCTCTCTCTCTCTCTCTCGCCGCCGTGCGCTGCAGATGAACTGCCCGAGAAGCGGGGGACAGCGCGATCACGCGAGGCGGCGTGGACTCAGCAGGCGCGGGAATGACGCTCGGCGTACGCCGGAGCGGGAAGCAGGAGGCGCTCGCCGCCGCCGAGATGGATCCTCCGCTCGACGCGGAAACGTGTCGGTGGCGTGCCGGGCTCGAGGGCTGGCTCTCTCCTCGCGATCGGTCCACGGCTAGGCTAGGAGAGGAAGGATGACGCGGCTGCACTTCCCATTTGAAAGCGCATGTATATATAGTGATGACTGGTCCGGGCAGTAAAATTAAGCTGGATCGGACGGCTCCTACTTTAGCGTGAAACCGACGCGGATAGAATAATCACCATCTGACGGTCCAGAAAATAGATAATGGATAGTTAAAGCTACTCGTCCTGCTTAGTTTACTACAGTACTCCATTAAACGGGAACTTCGTTCTTCATTAATTGATGCCATGTGCCGCCATCATTCCGTGCGTCGGGCTTCTCCTCCCGGTTCCCACGCTCACCTCGTGTGCCTCCGCACCGCAGTGAACAAGCTACCGGTCTAGCACGCTCCGTCATCCTGGACGGTGTACAAGGTCAGGCCGTCTAGGCCATGATCACCACCACAGTCGAAATTTGAGGAAACTTGCCCCTCACTCATGTACGGACTGCCATTGCAAACTTTTTTGCACATGATTTTTTTAGTTTTGAAAAGGGCAAAAGACTTGCCACATTCGTTAATTAAGAGAGGGTTTAGAACAAGTTTGGCCGCCCGAGGGCGACAACCCGTACAAGAAAAGCCTACTCTCCTGGCATGAGATTACATAAATGAGTTGCACCCGCCAACCCCCAATTCTTTGCCTCGCACCGGATTTTGGCCATGATCATAGTCGACGTAGCAAACTTGTTGTTGAAGACTCTTGTGTTGCGCTCATTCCACACTCACAAGACACACGCATTGCAATAGAAGCCATAGCCTTGCGACGGCCAAAGGCATGTAGAAAAGAGAGGCTAAAGCGTATGCGATTAGCAGGGACGCGTACGTGTTAATATAGGCACAATGGTGCGAGATATACAAGGTTGTTGGGCTGTGGATTGATATACAAGACACAATCTAGGATAGGACTCAATCCCAACAGCCCAACTATCGTTACAACAGAAACATCAACACGCACGCACGCATATACGGTTATACCGTATGTACAATGTTTAACACTCCCTCTCAATCACGACTTATCTAAGTTGAGATTGGGTCGAAATGCCTCCAGCTGCCTCAAGGAAAGGGGTTTAGTAAACCCATCTGCAACCTGATCACCAGTAGGAACAAAGCGAACATTCAACAGCTTGTTTGCAACTCGTTCTCGAACAAAGTGATAGTCTATCTCGATGTGCTTCGTCCTAGCATGAAAAACAGGGTTGGCAGATAAATAAGTAGCACCCAAATTGTCACACCATAGTGACGCTGCCTTGGGATGAGAAACACCCAACTCTGTCAACATGTTTTGGACCCAGATTACTTCAGCAGTGGCATTAGCTAGAGCCTTGTACTCAGCTTCTATGCTAGACCTGGAAACAGTCGCCTGCTTACGGGCACTCCATGACACCAAGTTACCTCCAAGAAAAACTGCAAAACCTCATGTAGATCTCCTGTCATCAGGGCAGCCTGCCCAATCTGCATCGGAGAACGCACTAACATGCATGGAGTCCGATTTGCAAAGCTTAAGACCATGACTCTGTGTGCCTTGAAGATATCTGAGTATCCTTTTTACTGCAGTCCAATGA